CATACTCTACAGGGCTGATTCCTCGGGGTTCACTGAGAAACCCTTGACTTCCGGTTTTCCTTACCGGAATACCTGATCCCTCGCTGCCATCTCTCCAAAACGATCGGTCCAGCCGGTATTTACTTACCGTTGCCGCCTGCTCACTGGACCTGCCACAGCTTCTCCTGGGTCCCTCTGACATCCAGCACCCACCTTGATACTGGTATTCCGCTCCAGCCCAGGCATCAGCTCCTCCAGCCACCGCTTAACTGGCTCCACAGCCCAGCAGGTCACACGTTCGACCTTTTACCTTTCTTGCACTTCCGGCATCCAGATCAAAGAACAGTGAGTCTGCCCGCAAATACACACCAGCCATCACCGTTTGTATAAACTTACCGAACGTTCATTCCCACGCCTTCTCCACAGTCTAAATAATTCACCTGTTTTGCAACCGACCAATTAGTCGAAAGCTCAGGTCAAATCACCACCGCACTGCCACCTAATGGTCAAATATGTGTACTACATCGTTCGGTAAAAAAATACCCTATGCATAGAGAAATTCGGTCCAATCACTCCTGTTATAATACTTCTACTTCCATCTCACCGAGACCAATACTGTTTTAAATTGTATATGCACATACGGATAACAAAAAAATCATATCACGCAGCCTTGCAGAGCTGCCATTGTCATTACGCCTCTGTACTGTTGGCACAGTCTATCTCACCATACGTATGCTAAAGTCACTTATTTCATCATAACTAGGTCAACCATTATTTCCGTACTGATTTTCAGCAGCTTATAGGGCAAATATTTACTGCCAGTAAACAGAATATCTTCCCCTCAGAGCGTAAGGCCACTAATTTACCTTCACATGTTATGTTACAATCATAATGCTGCTCTATTTTCAAGTAAACTATCATTGCCATACGTACTTCCATATACTCTTGTCTACTAAGCCACCCCTAACGACTATATATCTATATCAAACTAGGTGAAAACTACGTCGCAAACTATCCTCCCATCCTCACTGCAACAGGATCCACCCGGTACCACGTTTCAGGTATAGAATTGCACTACATTGTAGGGGGCCCAGACGTTACTAGGACATCTTTATCCTCACCTCAGAGGACCACTGTTCTTAGTAACACTCTCAAGCCTTACCTTACCTGTTACATACTAGTTGTCACCCCTATATGCATATAACCAGGTCTGTCCATGTCATCCACATTCTCTTTAGGTACTCCCTAAAGTTCAGACAACCCCCTCTCCTTTCGTGTTTCCAGCAGTTCCATACAACCTAGGTAAGTCTGCCTTAAGTCCATGGAAAGTAAGCCCGCATCCCGTTCTTCCCTGGAAACCCTACCTCTACCCCTGTCACCACTGATAGGGTAACCAACTGGCTACATTGTTAGGGTCTTTATGCCTTAGTCATTTAAACTAACCTTATGAAGCATGCTCCCTCCCATACACAACCCCTAACCCAATACATAGATAATGCTTCACATCATTCCCTATGGCATAGTTAGGGCCGCTCCAATCATGCCCCCTCTCTTAGTCTTTTAAGACAGAGAGACCACCTCTCCTGGTCACCAAGAGGCCCCCCACTTAACGCGTGGGTAGAGCCTCTTGAAACCACTTGGCATTTACGCAGGCCCTATCTCCCCTACTAAGACTAGGCAAATTTGCCATGTATATATACGTTGTGAGATATATACGATAGCTAGCTAGAAGCCAGTTGGCATAGGCCGACTACGCCCTGCCCAAGACTCACAATTAAATCCTTCTATTGTAGAATGTCACAAGTACCGGAACAAGAAGATGACCTCTCCCTGCCTGGCACCCCAGCCAGACGCCTCACCCCACCCGGACCCAGTACTCCTACAGATCATCTGGCTTCCTCCGCTCCTGGACTATCCCAAAACTCACCAGCGAGCTGAAAAGCTTAGGCATTCCTTTTCCTGCCACTGCACGCAAAGCCGAACTGTACCGCCTCCTAACTTCTAGTTCTGGCACTCCCAAGCCTTGTGCCACAGTGCCACTGTCCAACGCAGTCAACTTCACCAAAGTGAAGAACATCAATACTGTCAGTGTCAGACTAATAAAACTGGAGAATCCTCGGATGCGTATACCTTCCCTCACAACAGAGCTCCCCACCCCCTCTCCTTCACACAGTAATCTCATCTTTTTTGACCCCACTCCTGGCACTTCCACCCCCATAATCACCCCTGTGCACCTAGTACCCCCGACCGTTCAAAAGGACATCCTGGAGGACAAGGACGTCAACCTAATTTCTCTGCTAATTGCCTCCCAGGATGTCATGGAGAACAAATTGTACAACTATGGGGATCTGTTAGTCGTACTAAAAGCCAGAGACCCCAGACTCAATCGCAAACTCCTATCCCTGAATTCATGCTCGCTTTTGGACTATACCATGCTGTAATTTGCTCCACTTCACCTCAACGTAGGGAAGAGTTGGACTTATACATGCACAAATTGGTGGATCTGGGACATAAGTATGGTGGTTTTGCATACCAAGACTACCATAAATCTTTTTCGGCCAAAGCAGCAGCATCCCTAGCACAATTTAATATTCACACGAATGGGAGTAGGCTTGACACTGAACTATTCTGTCACCACTTCACGGGACTGAAGACCCCCTCTTGCGCTATTTGCGCCTCCGGTTCCCACTCCACCAACTTGTGTCCAGTGAATCCAAATCTCCCTACCACCAGCTGTACCCCCTTTGGATCGTCAGCCATGGTCATCCATGGGGAGGGTGGAGGGGGGGCAATGGGGGAGTACTTGTTCCCCCTTGGATTTTTCAGCTTGTTTTGCTGTTTTTCGTGTGAGATTGAAAATACAGTGCAATATGTATGGAGAGAGGATGTGTTGGCTGCCTCTAGCAAAACTGGTGGGGCTGCGAGGTGCGGTGTCCACAGTTGTCCAGGCACGCAAAGTGATTTTGCCTGCAGGGTGATGCCAATGGGAAGGGTTTTCAGGCGCAGCCTGTCTGCGGTTACAGCAGGTGTGCGATCCCCGCACTATTTCATCCAGGTGTCGTCATCCATGCAGGCTGACTTGAGGGTATGGGATGCTTTCTTGCGGGATTTCAATGGGACAGTGTTTTTCCGGCAGGCGGGCATGTCAGTTGAAGTGTTTGAGCTTTTTACCGATGCGTCAGGTCGCGTGGGTTTTGGGGCCTACTTCGGTGGGAGGTGGTGTGCAGAAAGGTGGCTGGATGCATGGGGGCAGAGCCCCCTCATTCGTAACCTGGCTTTCCTGGAATTGTTCCCATTGGTGGTGGTGCTGGCCTGGCCCTTTGGGGATATAGACTGCGGGACCAGAAGGTGAACTTCTTCTCGGACATGTCCGTGGTACATGCAGTCAATAATCTGTCGGCTTCATCGAAGCCAGTGGTGAGGCTGTTGCAGCGCTTTGTTTTACTATGCATGTCCATTAATGTAGTTTTTCATGCGCGCCATGTGCCCGGGTACTTGAACGTAGTGGCTGACACTTTGTCTCATTTTCAGTGGTCACGGTTTCAGATGGTGGCTCCAGGGGTTTGCCCGGACGAGATGTGGCAGGTCGGAGCATCTTGCTTGGGGGACTCGTAAGGGCATCTCTGGCGCCGGCCACTTGGGCCGCCTACAGCAAGGTCTGGAGTTCGTGGGAACGTTCATGGGATGGTTTGGACCAAGTACTGGTGGGAGAATCGCTTCTCAATGCTTTTCTGTGGTTCATGTTCCGGTTATTAGTGAAGGGCACGTCCCCAGTGATGGTAGACAGGACCATGGCTGAGATGGCTTTCTAGTTCAAGCTGCATGGGAAAGAAGATCTTTCGAAGTCTTTCGTAATCAGGCAAGCGCTTAAGGGCTATCGGAGGGGACGTAGGATTCCCGATGCAAGGTGCCTGAGGTTTGTTTCAACAATTTTGAAGATCTCTGTTCCAGGCGGTGTTTCTTTTGGCCTTTTTCGGGGCGTTTCGGATTGGGGAATTGGTGAGTGCCACACAGGTGTTTACGTTTTGTTTCCCTAGGTCGAGTCGCATGGATCGTCGGGCATTCATTTGTCTTCTGGGCCAAAAGGAGGGCTGCAGCTCGATTTCAGGGTCAGCAGCTGGGCTTTCCGAAGGACCAGTTGGCGGTGCGGGGGTTTGGCTACAGGGGATTTTCCTAGGGTGACACGTGTAATGCAGTGTTCCCGATGGTAACAGGTAAAAACAGGCCGGATTTGCTGGTCCTCCATGCTGGGGGCAATGACCTAGGCCTGATACCACAGCATAGGTTAGTAAAGTGGATGAAGCAGGACCTCAATAAGCTGAGGGATCTGCTGCCCGGGGTGATGCTGGTATGGTCAGAGATTGTCCCGAGGCGGCAATGTAGGCATGCGCGGGACCCAGTTGCTATTGATCGCTGCAGAGGAAAGGTTAATAGCTTGATGACGAGCTTCGTGAGGAAATTGGGGGGTGTGGTAGTGCCACACGGGAAGGTCGGGTTGCCCGGATATTACCACTCGGATGGAGTTCACCTCTCCGCAGTGGGGTGGGACTTCCTGAACCTTGGTTGGCAAGAAGGGATGTAGGAAGCGCTGTTTCTTCTGGGGGGCGGAGCTCAGACAGCTTAAGGGTTCAAGGTCTGAGCCTGTGGCGGGATAGAGAGCTGAATGAGAGGAAATAGGCTCACCATTAGGAAGATTATGGAAATGGAAAATTGTGGTTATTGTTAAGTTGGTAGGTTTCGAGTCCTCAGAACCCTATCGCGTCAGAAACTGGTGGGGTAGGGGTATCCGGGTATACCCCTGCCATGGTTAATTTATGTTTGGCACTTTAAGTTATGTTCATGTTGGAATAATGTTATATATATGGGGTCTGTAAAGGATCCCTGCATACGTGCAGCGATGATCCTTGCAGCTTCTCCCGAAATCCCGCTGAAACCGAGTGATTATAGCTTCCAATTCCCCAAACATGAGTCGAGACTTCATGAAGGGGTAAAAACGATCTGATTTACTGTGGGCTACCCGCCCGGTATTTATGCAGGTCTTCCACCTGGTGGACACTCCCCTAGGGGACCAGATGGAAGACTGGGACAGAAGTAACACAGTAGCCAATCACAGTGGCTATAGGATAAACACTCCCCTTTACACAAATCACTCCCTCTTTCCCATCCTGGAGATAATTAGATTAAGGTAGCAAAGAGAGCTGTAATTATCTCCAGAAGTAAAGAAACATGCCTTTTTATATTTAGCAAAAACAGAATAAAAATACATAACTTTCTTTTTATATAACATAAACTTTAAGTTCCACACATCCCCAGATAGCTTGGATCTGAGTGCATATTCTAGGCGAATAGCGCTCAGATCCCACGAACACAGGTCCCAGAATCGTCGACTGAAGTTTGGCTGTCCTTGGCCATTCGTGTATTTGTAACCGATTGCCAGTCCTCTATTATAGCTATCTGGGGTCAGCCACGTTCGCATACTTTAATGCGCGAATAAAATATTATCCCTTCCTTCGAATGGTTCCACCGTATGAACGAGGATGGGTGAAGGTAGCAGCGGCGTTCGACAAAATAGGTCGCTGAAATCAGTTCCAGGGAATCCTCGCCATTTGCCACTGCGCGTTCGACAAAACCAAAATGGCGATTGCCACGTGTTCGGGAGGTGAACGCGGACCACCCGCTATACCAATTAGTTTGTGGTTAACCGCAACAGTCAGGGTGGTCAATGAGCGCCACACGACCTCAGTGGGAGGTCGGTGGTTCGGTAGTTTGTTCGCCTTATTTGACAATTTCACGAAATCCTATTGTAATGTTCCAAATAACCGAACAGGCTTGTTCGTGACGGCTGTGAATAGGGGATTTCGTTACAGGGTCATTGCCTTTTATATGAACAGAAGGATACGGATGTGAGGGCGGAGTATGGGGCAATGAGCCGTGTATTCTATGTTAAGTTATTATTATTACATTATGATTATTTATTAAAAGCTGCGGACAATTTGACCCATATACCCTAGTGTCGGTGTTTTATTGGGAAAGGAATGTGGGGTGGTTGTCCAAGGTTCTGACTGCCCATATGGCGACTTTACACCGGTCATGTAGCCCCATGTAGCCAAAGTGCAGCTTAGCGGAAAAGGGCCTATATAGGGGTTAGGAGGCAGGCTTAGGAGGAAGCAAGCAGGGATTGGTGTTTTGTGGGTAAGGGGTTTGGCTATTTAAATAGGCAGCCATCTTGGAATGAGTCGCTTTGAATTACCTACCTGGCTGTGCAGGGCTGGATTAACATAGGGGCTGATGGAGCTGCAGCTCCAGGCCCAGGCCCATGGAATAGGCCCATTTAAAAAAAAAAAAAACATTTTTTTTTTTTTTTTACACACACTACTCTTAGGTTTTACCAGCACAGCCGGTATTTGAGGCTGCCTGGCTGTGCCGGTATTGCAGTAATACTGGCAATACAAATGCAGGTATTTTTCTCAGTATAAACGCAGATTACTCTGCAATACCAGCACCGGCCAGTAGGGGTCACTGTGTGTGGAGAGAGGCAGGTATAGGAAGTTACAGCATATCCCTCCCTGCCTCTCTCTTCTCACTGATCCACAGGGGAGCAGCTACACAGCACAGAGAGTACAGACAGCAGCTCCCAGCCTACAGAAACAGCCTACAGCTCAGGTAAGTGAAGGATGGGGGGAAAGGTAGCAGGGACACATGGGGACACTGAGACACTAGGGGACACTGTGAGATATGGGGATGCTGAGACACATGGGGACATTGGGAGACACACAGGCACATGGGACACAGTGTCCCCATGCCTCCAAGCCAGTGTCCCTATTGTCTCAGTGTCCCAGTGTCCCCTAGTCTCCCAGTGTCTATGTTACATAGCTGAAAAGAGACTTGCGTCCATCAAGTTCAGCCTTCCTCAGAAATGTTGTTGCTGTTGATCCAAAAGAAGGCAAAAAACCTGGTCTGAAGCACTTCCAATTTTGCCACAAACTAGGAAAAAATTCCTTCTTGACCCCAAAATAGCAGTCAGATGTCTCCTTGGATCAAGCAGCTATTACCCCACTATTTAGAAATTATATCCCTGTATGTTATGTTTTTGTAAGTATTTATCCAATTTCAGTTTAAACATCTGTATGGACTCTGACAAAACCACCTATTCAGGCAGAGAATTCCATATCCTTATTGTTCTTACTGTAAAAAAACCTTTTCTTTGCCTTAGATGAAATCTCCTTTCTTCCAGCCTAAATGTGTGACCTCGTGTCCTATGTATAACCCTGTTTATGAATAGATTTCCAGATAAGGGTTTGTACTGGCCCCGAATATATTTGTATAAAGTTATCATATCCCCTCTCAGGCGCCGTTTTTCCAAATGAAACAGATTTAATTTTTGTAACCTTTCTTCATAACTAAAATGCTCCATTCCTTTTATCAATTTTGTAGCTCGTCTCTGGACCCTCTCCAGTGCCATGATATCCTTCTTTAGAACAGGCGCCCAAAATTGCACAGCATATTCAAGGTGTGGTCTTACCAGCGATTTATAAAGAAGCAAAATTATATTTTCATCCCGAGAATTTATGCCCCTATTTATACATTACAAAATCTTACTGGCCTTAGCAACTGCAGATTGACATTGCATATTGCTGCCTAATTTGTTGTCTATAACAATGCCCAAATCCTTCTCGTGTGTGGTTATCCCTAATTCACTACCATTTAGTGTGTAAGTTGCTTGTGCATTCTTAACCCCGAAGTGCATAACTTTGCATTTCTCTATGTTAAATTTCATCTGCCATTTTAGTGCCCAGTCCCCCAATCTATCCAAATCTCTCTGCAACAAAGCAATATCCTGCTCACATTTTATTACTTTACAAAGTTTTGTGTCATCTGCAAACACTGATACATGGCTTTCAATGCCTATTTCAAGATCATTTATAAATATGTTAAATAGAAGTGGTCCCAAAACAGAACCCTGAGGGACACCACTTACCACTTTTGTCCAGCCTGAAAATTTACCATTAATTACAACTCGTTGTACTCTGTCCTTAAGCAAATGTTCTACCCAAGAACAGGAATATTCATCTAGACCAATTTCTTTTAGTTTGAAGACTAACCTATTGTGAGGAACCATATCAAATGCCTTGGCAAAGTCCAAGTAGATCACATCCACTGCAACACCCTGATCTATACTTCTACTTACTTCTTTGTAGAATGCAATTAGGTTAGTTTGACATGACCTATGTTTCATAAAACCATGCTGATTATTGCTAATAACAAAGTTCTTCCCAATGAATTCCTGAATATTATCCCTTAATAGCCCTTCAAATATTTTCCCAGTTACTGAAGTTAAGCTCACAGGTCTATAATTTCCAGGCAAGGATTTTGAACCCTTTTAAATATAGGAACAACATCTGCCTTCCTCCAATCCTCCGGTACAACACCTGAAACAAAAGAATCTTGAAAAATTAAATACAGAGGTTCACTTATTTCCCCACTTAGCTCCTTAAGTACTCGTGGGTGAATACAGTCAGGCCCCGGAGCTTTATTTACATTAATTTTCTTTAATAGCTGTAGCACCTTGTCTCGAGTTATCCAGTCACAAGTTATTTGCAAGTTTTTTGCAGCAAACATTTGCATATCTCTTGCCATAGGATCCTCATTAATATATACTGAAGAAAAATAGTTATTTAAAATTTCTGCTTTTTCCTGGTCTTCATTAGCTAATAAACCCAACTCTGTTTCAAGTGTACCTACACTTTCATTTTTTGTTTTTTTAGAATTGATGTACTTGAAAAAAAATTTGGGGTTGGTTTTGCATTCTTTAGCTATCAATTTCTCATTTTCTAGTTTAGCCACTTTAATTGCCTTTTTGCAAGTGTTATTGGCTTCCTTATATCTTAAATAGGATGCCTTTGATTTGTCTGATTTAAATGCTTTAAATGCCCTTTTCTTATTTTTAATCTCTTGTTTTACTTCTCTACTAAGCCACATTGGTTTTAATTTGTTTCTTTTATATTTATTACCCAATGGTACATACTGAGAAATGTACCTTTCTAATATATGTTTGAATAGTTTCCATTTATCCTCAGTGTTTTTATCACTAAGGAGTTTATGCCTGTCGATATGTTGTAGAGCTACCCTAATCTTATTGAAATTAGCTTTTTTTAAATTATATGTTTTAGTATACCCCACCTGCTTTTGCTTTTTTGAGTTTATTTCAAAATTTACCATATTGTGATCACTATTTCCCAAATGCTCCCCTACTTGAATGTTGGTTAAAAGATCAACATTGTTTGTTATGACAAGATCCAGACAAGCATCCTGTCTAGTTGGTGCTTGTACCAGTTGTGACATAAAGGTGTCATTTAACACATTCAAAAACCTGATTCCCCTTGCTGAAGTACTAGTCCCTCTTTCCCAATTTATGTCTGGATAATTAAAATCTCCAATAATTAACGTGTTACCTCGATTTGCAGCTTTCTCAATTTGCTCTAACAGCTGTTCTTCCTCATTAATTTTTACATTAGGTGGTTTATAACATATCCCAACCAATAATTGATTTCCCTTTGTTTTCCCCAAGCAGATATCTACCCATAAAGCCTCCACCTTTTCCTCGTCACACTCCACATGCCTAAGATTTGACTTTAACTCACGGTTGACATATAAACATACCCCACCACCCTTCTTGTTTTTCCTATCCTTCCTAAATAACGTGTACCCATTTAAATTAACTGCCCAGTCATGTGTCTCATCCCACCATGTTTCTGTTATGCCTATTATATCATATTGTTTAGTGTATGCTATTGCCTCTAGTTCCCCCATTTTGTTATATAGGCTCCTTGCATTAGTAAGCATACATTTAATATTATCATGAGTCTTGTTGTGGAAATAAGGTCTACACATATTTCCTAGTTAAAGGAAAATGTCTATTTACTCATCTCACACTATGCTATAGAGTTAAGCACACATGTTTAATCAAAATGGCTGCTAGAAGCTTCTAACCCCTTCCTCCCCCTGCCCCTTTAAACACCGACTAACTACCTCGTGCAGCAAGATGGTGCCGGGAAACCGTGGGAGACCCTCATGGACCTGGTGACATGAAATATTGACATATTTTTAGCTAGTAAAATGTCTATTTACTTCATTTAGTTATACTTAATATTATTCAATAAATTACTAAACTGACCACTAGATGTCACTCAGGAGTACCCCACCCATCGACCAAACACTCTAATTTTCAAGATGGCGCTGGAATCCTGGGGGAGAACTCCATGACGACAGTAATGACATAAGAAGGCACACCCTGTAGGACGTGCTTTGAATAAAACACTTAACACTTAACCAATTATTGATGTATTATTCCATGTTATCTCTGACAATGCTTATGATGTAATTTTGCTTTAAAAGGGACCTGCCGTCCCCTCTGAATAAACTTTTCCTCAAGTTATTCAACAACCTAGAACCTGTGTCTGGTGTGAATTACTTCAGGGAGCGTGCACGCATTGTTTCATTGATTTGGCCAGGGGCAGATACACAAAGAAATAATCAATACTTTAATTGATTTTTCCATTTCAAGTCTTTTGTACTTTTTGTGAATTATCAATATTACATACCTCCTCTGTTCTGAGTTTTCCCCTCCCCCCATCTCCACCCCCTTTGTTCTGAGCTAAAGCCTATCTCTTTTCCATCCTATCTCCATTTTCTAGATTGCTTTGACCCTCCCCCCCTACCACTAGTTTAAAATCTCCTCCAACCTTCTAGCCATCCTATCCCCCAGCACAGCAGACCCTCTTCCGTTTAGGTGCAATCCATCATGACTATACAGGTTGTACCCAAGCGCAAAATCGGCCCAGTGCTCTAAAAACCCAAAACCCTCTTTCCTGCACCAAGACTTTAGCCACGCATTGACCTCTCTAATCTCCCGCTGCCTTTCTGCTGTAGCGCGCGGCACAGGTAATATTTCTGAAAAAATTACCTTGGAGGTCCTTTTCTTAAGCTTACTTCCTAGTTCCCTGAACTCATTCTTTAGGACCTTCCATTTTCCTCTGACTTTGTCATTGGTACCAATATGGACCATGACAGCTGGGTCATCTCCAGCCCCTCCCAATAATCCCTCCACTCTGTCGGCAACATGCCGGACCCGAGCACCCGGGAGACAGCAAACTGTCCGGTTGAGTCGATCAGAGTGGCAGATTACCCTATCTACTCTCTTAATAATAGAGTCCCCTACCACCACAACCTGTCTAGCCTTCCTTACCTCTCAACCCCACCCGTACTAGAGGGGCTGTTTCCACGGCTGTTAGCAGGAACAGCTTCCTGCAGTACAGCTACTCCTGAGCTGATGCTCCCAACATCTTCACTCAAACGGGCAAATCTGTTAGGCTGCATGAGATCAGGACTAGCTAAACCTTTTCTCTTCCCTCCCCCCCTGCTTCCTCTCCCCACTGTCACCCAGCTACGTGCCTGTTCCCCATCTGTCTTATCTCCTCCCTCTCCACTACCTGTCCCCACTAAACACTGCTCAGTGAGCAGCAGACTCCTCTCAAGATTGTCAATCTCCCTCAGTGTTACAATTTGCCTCTCCAGATCTCTAATCTGAGCTTCCAGAAATGCCACTCGCTCACACCCACCACAGAGATATGGACCCTGGACAGAATCATCCAGGCATGCATACATGCGGCATGATGTGCACTGAGTTAAATTTGCAATCTTGCTAGCACTCATCCCCAGTAACAAAAAACACAAGTGAGCAAAAAAAAAAAAAAATATTAACCCTCTTGGTTTAAACTCCCTTGTAGTTTCAACTCCTGTTGTTTTAACTCCTACTTTAAATAGCCTACTTTCAAGCAAACTCCAGTGAGCAAGCTCTGTGAGTCAGTAGTGGGTTTATATTTGCAATACAAATCCCACACAGGTGGAAATTAAGGGGCACTCCCCCTAATTAGCTCAGCAGCAGCAGCACCCACAAGGAGGGGAATAGAAACAACAAGAGAGGGGGGAAAAAAAAAAAAAAAAGGGAGGGAAAATGTTTTAAATAATACCAGCAAGGTGAAAATATAGAAGAAAAAAAAAGGAACAAAGTTTAAATATATCCAAAGAGAAAAAATATATATATATGAAAAGGGGAAAAAAGTTACAAAATATTAAAATAAATCAAAACAGTAAGGAGAAATAATTTGTTTTTTTTAAAAAGGGTAAAAGTAAAAAAAAAAAAACAAAAAAAACACAAAATACAAACAAAACAAAACCCAAAAAGAGAGAAAAAAAAAAAAACCAAACAAATACTAAAATTTAAACCTGCTTTTCTTTTCCACTTGGTATTAACTAATACCAACCACAGTCCACCAGTTCACCAACAAACTCCTGTTGTTTTAACTCCTACTTAAAAGAGACTACTTTAAATAGCCTACTTTCAAGCAAACTCCAGTGAGCCATGTCACCATGTCTCTCAGTGTCCCTAGTGTCTCAGTGTCCCCATGTCTCCCAGTGTCCCCATATGTCTGTGTCCCCATGTCTCCCAGTGTCCACATGTCTCCCAGCCAGTCCCCCTAGTGTATCAGTGTCCCCATGTCTCCCAGTGTCCCTATGTCTCCCAGCTAGTGTCTTTAGTGTCTGTGTCCCCATGTCTCCCAGTGTCTGTGTCCCATGTCTCTCAGTGTCCCTAGTGTCCCCAAATGTCCCCATGTCTCCCAGTGTCCCCAAGTGTCTCAATGCCTCTCTCTACATGCCTCCCAGCCAGTGTCCCTAGTGTCTCAGTGTCACTAGTGTCTTAGTGTCCCCATGTCTTCCAGAGACTGTGTCTCTGTGTCCCTAGTGTCTGTGTCCCCATTTCTCCCAGTGTCCCCATTGACTTCCTGCTTCACTGGACACTGCCGTTAGGGGGTATGGATTTACTTGAAAGATTAAAGCATAAACTAGAGAGAGATTAGCATAGAGTATGTGTTTTCTTAAAGCTGCATCCTTTGAGTTTCCCTCCAACACCATCTCCATTAGATACTTGACGCTTGAGAGGTATGACTGTTTTAGTGTCTATGGTCAATAAGATTCTTGTCATGACTGCTAGTGTGGTCCAGCACGCAGAACTATGTAACATCTACATAGACCGAACAGAAAATGATAAAACGTAAACCGGTCCTTAGAATGGCCCGACTAATACGTTAAAAACAGAGAATGGTCAAGGGAGCCAGAAATATACAATACCATTTAACAAGCCAAGTCAGGGAAGCCAGGAATAGGAATAGTCAGGAATAGCAAAGGTCAAAATACTGGGAATATCAAAAACAGGACAAGGAAACGCACTCTCAGGATTCAGGAACCAGGAACGAAAACAACGACAGGGCAATAACCTAGGTTAAATATCCCTCTGGCCTCTGACTGCAGAACGTGTGTGTGTGACCCTGGGGGGCAGAGCTATATCTAGCTGTGACCGCTTGTTCGGCACCATCTTGAACCCAGGCAGGCAGCCGGGAGAACCCGGCAGAACAGCTCCCGACTCACTGCTGAGCAGGTAAGCTCAGTTCGTTGGCGCGGTCGCACTGTTCCGGTGCGACCACACCTCGTGGCGAGCCGGGGGCCGTGACATTTCTGTAATTAGGCCCCATCATAATTGTCAGCACCAGGCCCACTGGGCTCTTAATCTGGCCCTGTGGCTGAGTTTGTCCCACCCTCCCTGGGTTTTTGGTTTAAGGTGGGCTGTCCCGTTTTGTCACAGCAGCAGGATAGGGAGCTGAAGGAGAGGAAATAGGCTTCTCATTAGGAAGATTATGGAAATGGCAAATTGTAATTATTGGTAAGTTGGAAGGTTTTGAGTCCTGTCGGTGGCTCAGAACCTGGTGGGGTAGGGGTATCTGGCTATAATCCTGCCATGGTTAATTTATGTTTGGCACTTTAAGTTATGTTCATGTTGAATTAATGTTGGAAGAATGTGAGACCGGCTGAATGCGCGCGCAGCTCCTGCCGTGCATGCGCATTCAGCCGAAGAGGAGGAGAGGAGGCGGAGAGGAGGAGGAGAGCTCCCCGCCCGGCGCTGGAGAAAGTAATACGTTTAACCCCTTCCTCTCCCCATAGCCAGGTGGGAGGAAGTCCCTGAGTGTGGGGGGTCCCTGAGGGTTCCAGGAAAACAAGTATGTTTTCCTGGCAGTATAGTGGTCCTTTAAGGTATGTGGGGTGGTTGTCCAAGGTTCTGACTGCCCATATGGCGACTATACACCGGTCAAGCAATTGAGATATGCTACACTGCAAAACTTACTGACAAACATATTAGAGCTATGGAGCAGGATAAACAGACTGACAGCATCCACGCAGCCTTCAAGCAACAGCTAAGGTTGAAGAACCATCAGCACAAGCATCAACACCAAAGCACCTCACCGGTGAGCAAGTCTACATCATGTAAGTACTGTGGCAGTATACATGTGAGAGAGAAAGAAGAGTGTCCTGCATATGGAAAAACCTGTAGATCATGTGGTAGGCTAAATCCTTTTGCTGGAGTATGTCTGTCAAGAAGAAAGGAAGCAAGGAAGCTAAACACAATTGAACACGTCTGATTCTGAGGATGCACACCTGCTTAGCATTGATGGGATTTACTCAAAGGAATGCATTGGTGCTGTACAGTCTAAGGGCAAAAAATGATTTGTAAATCTCAGACTGAATAATATATGCCAACCCTGCCAGCTGGATTCTCGTGCAACATGTGATGTCATGAGTTTGAAAGACAAGATAAAACTGACACCTAGGACACCACTTCTAAAAAGCTAAAAGTGATAGTAAAGACCCATGGAAAGTCATCTTACATTGGAGAAACACTCCAACCAAGGGTAGCGATAGTAGTCCGGCACAGAGACTGATGTCAAGGAGATTAAAGACCTCCTTACCAGTAGCCAACAAGCTTCTTTAACCCTCTGTGATACAAAGTGTACCAGAAAAGTTACGACTTAAGAGGCAAGTGTTCAAGGCAAGATATGACTCATCTGCTATGGATTTTCCTGAACTGAATATTGGGGAACAAATCCATATGAAACCGCTTCCTGGACATCCAACAGGTCGCTTGAGAATGGGAACCTATCTGCAAAAGGTTGCACCACGCTCTTATCTTGTGGATAT